CAACAACAGATATTCCGTCATGTTGGGGATTCAGTTTGAGGGAACTGGAATCGAAGAGGAGCAAGGAAAGGACCAAACACTTAAATTCATTCCGACGTTCCTGATCGAAGAATACAACCTTGGACCTTATATGCCGAAATGCTTGGTCTAAGATGAAACGACAGACATCGGAGCACATGGCTTTTTGCTAAAAACTCTGATGAATGTGCCCCTGTGGCTTCTGGCTCAGGACACATTAAGGTGAGATATTTTCCCAAAATCTGTGCTTAGTGTTACAGTGGCTTCTGGCTCACTTAGGCATGCAAGAATACCTTCCAAAGTACCTGCAGGTGCAGTATCCTACTGGGGACTAACTCCTTCATCATAAAGTTGGGAGGAGTGTAGTGAATTTATCCTGGGGGGTCAACTTTACTGGGGTAAGTTTTTGCCTCTAGAGAGTGAGGGGTGTAAGTATTGCCGGGAGAAGCGCATGCGCAGTGAGTGTAAATAGAGAAAACGGAGCGAGAAGCTCAGTCTGCGTGTGATTGAGAGATCCGCTACAAGTTCACCAAGATACCGTAGAATATAGTATCGTAAAGTATAATACGTAAGCAGTAGATGCTTCAACGGCATCGATTTACCCAAGTGAAATCGGCCCAAGCTAAAATCGGCCCTATGTATACATGGAAGATACATAAATGTTATGTCTGCCTATTCATGCCTATATAACATAGGATTCAGGTCGCCAGCTTAGAGCTGAAGTGAAATGGGGGAGTTCCCTTTAGCTCGGGTCAGACTAGGAACCTCAGTCGCGAGTTCCACTAGGGGAGGTAACCTGTACTAATGTAATAAATAGATAGTAATACTTACGACAAAGTCCAGGTCAGTAAGCTCCCGTGGCCGAATCATCTGTCGGTTAGGATGAGATAGGACGGGTTCGGCAGGTTGAAGTCCCTGGAATCCATCTGCTCCTGTAGGACGTCCTCCATTATCGTTGCTGCCGGCGTGTGGACCATGGCCTCGGTTAATATCTGTAAATGTAAAATAATACATGAAATCATATAACAATTAAATTTTGTTATTTTGAATATGAAAATATTTTCAAATGTATGAAAACGCCATTATCGAATAGTATATTGGTCTAAAGTTATCATGTATTCAGGGCAGATTATTTACTCACCTGAGTCTTTACCTTCACCCTCTTCATGGCCAAGTTGTCCGGACCGTGGACATGGTCAATAGTACTGCAGGTGAACACGCATCCCCTCGCTGGCTGACGCTGGCCCAGCACCACACCTTCTTATTCTGGACGGAACATCTCCATGTTGTGGTTGTCTTGGTGGATCCCTGTAATAAATAATACATAAAAGATAAAACATAAAGATCTGTCGCGTTGTTCATATTAAATTAAAACATAACATTCAATGCTGCATTCACATTTTAATGTTACTTTTACTTTTCAGTATTACCACGGAATTAGATTAGTTATCTAAGTCCGTGGTATTACCTACACATCTTGAAATTGCCTTCAGGCAATTTTTTTTACCTCAAGAGTATACCATACCTTCACAGTGTAAGTGTATCCATCACTGGAAACAAAGCTTCCAGCAACGACGGTTGGTTCCCTGGTCTACTACCTCCCAGGTCACCTCCTCATCCTCCAGTACGGTGTCAGTGATGAGGGCGTCGGCTAGGGATCTACAATGAAAAAATAATAATACATGAATGTTAACATTTATATATGTTTAACAACATTTTTTTTTATATGTTATTAAGTTGTAATCGGTTTGAAAATAAAATAAATTATTAAGTGTATTCCGTCCAGATTGGTGTTCGCACGCTCAGGAATTCGTTAATCGATATTTTTTACTTCTGTCTGCTGATTCATAAATATTGTTTACTTACCTAGGTGTGGGCATAATTTCAGGTCGATCATAACAGTAGAAAGTACCGAAATACGTCGATAAATACTATTTTCTCGAGGGTGGATTGAATGTCCACGGAGGAATGAGTGTCCAGGGAGGTGTTCGCGCGCCCAAGAATTCGTTAATTGATATTTTTTACCTCTTTCTTCTGATTCATAAATATTTTCCACTTACCTAGCTGTGTGCAAAACATAACAGTAGAATTACCGAGATTTCTCGTTATTTATATGCCTACGATAGTGTACAAGTTACTTCCCTTCCAAAGCATTGTCTGCCTATTCTGATAGCCGTTACTGAAGTTATTTAGTTTTATTAGTCCCCTACCGGTAAAACCGGGGTGACTTTAGGTTTTGTCTGTGTCCGTCCGTCCGTCCATCCATCATGTGTCCGTCAGTTACCTTTGGTTAAGGTTTTGGTTAAAGTTTTATAATGGCTAACCATTCGCTTAATAATGATGTTAGGATGCTGATTCTTAACATAGTGGTTCTTCAGGGGTCTAGCATTAATGTTGTTTAATGAAAGTGGATAAATTTAGTGAAAGTGGATAAATAATTTTTGTTTTTTTATTTTTGACATGATTTGGACTTAACTATCTTGGCCAAAATCTGAAGGTTAAAGTTTTATAATGGCTCACCGTTCACTTAATAAGAGTGTTAGGATGCTGATTTTATGTACAGAGGTTCTTTAGGGGTCTAGAATTAATGCTGTGGATTGAAAATGGAAAATAGTAATAATAAAAAAAAATGACATGTTTTGGACTTAACTATCTTGGCCAAAATCTGAAGGTTAAAGTTTGGGGGGCCGGTAGGGGACATATATTGATTCATCAATTTCCCCAAAGAATGCTTATTTAATTTATAATTTACACAATGGCATAGAAATGCCCACTTTGAAAATGATAAAAAAAACACAAAAAAAGCAAGAAAAGCCTGCATGACATAGGTTTGTGACTCCTTAAATACTGATTCATTGTATATTCTAGTCAAAATAGGGATATGGTACATGTGGTCCTCCAATTCCAATGATTAAAACCAAGTTTGAGTAATAAATAGTATTTGTACATATTTAATGAAGTTAAATGCATTTCATTGATTTAAGCATTCTAAACAATAATTTCCATTAACATTTAATAACTAATGCACTAGATCAAAGATGAGCAAAATTAAGCTGATACAAGTTTAATATATCTAGTAGAGTCATAAATTCCATGAAATTACATAAAGGATATGTTATTTATTGCAGTTAAATGGACACTGATGATACCTTCATGGATTTGAGCCCTGTCCCTTCATTGGATTTGGGTTCATTGCTTAATGATTATGAACCATCAAATCCACAAGAAGGTAAGAGGCATTATTTTACAAATATGGAATATAAATGGGAGAAGAAAGAAAATTGTAACCATATAACATTTTATTGATGTGGACTTCAATTTTGAATTAGTTTATAATCTACACTTAATTTCACATTTAAGAAACGAGGATAAAATAAACTTTCAAACTCTTGGCAGTGGTACAGGACCCTTAACTTATGATTTGCATACATAGTACATTTTTAGCCCACCACCATATCAGATGGTAGGCTATTCAAATCATCTGTGGTCTGTGGTCTATCCGTCTGTTCTTAAACAATTCTTGTTAGCGCTCTTTCTCAGAAAGTACTGGAGGAATCTTTTTTCAAATTTCACATAAAGGTTTCCTAAGGTCCATAGTTATGCATATTGAATTTTAGGACTGATCACTAAACCAAGCTGTTATTGCTTCTCAAACGACCTGTTTCAGGAACCAAAGAATTTTGTCCACAAAGCAATTTAACCATTACTGGGTTATATTTGTAGCTCCCTAAGACACGACCCATGAGATAATTTTAAAAAAAATAAAAAGGTCCCCAGGGCCTGTACTATGAACTATTTTGTGTTGCCTTNATAAAAAGGTCCCCAGGGCCTGTACTATGAACTATTTTGTGTTGCCTTCCAAAGGTGTACGACAGGGTTCACTTTTTTGTCCAAAAAACTATCAAAACAATGTTTTACGCTATCAAATAATATTATATTATTTCAAGTAGGATCTGCTGCAAATAATGAACTCAAATATTTAACAAAACATTGCATAATAAAAAAGTTATAAAATCTTAAACTCTAAGAATGTTGGTATTTTCATACACTTTTTTGCTACATCAATTGTTTTATGGAAGTAAAACACCAATTTTCGGTTCTTGTACACTAAAAATCTTTTAATATTATTTGGTGCATTATGTTGAAAAACGATAGTGAAAATTTCAGAATATTTGAGAACCGGTAAATTTGTCATATAAATGTCAGATTGTAGCAACGTCTATTTCCAAACAAAATCCAACAACCTTATGACCTATAGTCATGTTTGATAATTTAACAATATGTCGCACCAATTTATTATCGCAACTGATCAAATTTTCATCAATAAGATCTGCTGATCATGATGAGCCCAACTATAAAGCTAGATGTTGCAAAATAGAAAAGTTATGCAGTCTCTCACACATAAAAGTTTAGTATGTTATGTACGTTTTTAGTTGTTTCGCATCTTTACGGAAGTGAAAGACATATTTCCGGTTTGTGTACTACACCAACATACTTTGGATATTATTTGGCACATTATGTTGACAGACGATGGTAGAAATTTCGTAAAAATCGGTATGCGTTAAATGTGTCATCTTAAGGATAATATGTTGTATGACCAATGTCAAAATAATTGCCGCGTAAATTTAGCGCAGATCTATTTATAATATGTCACGTGGTTGTTTCGAAAGTGAGGCAGTGAAGATAACAACAATAGCATGCCGTCATGTGCCATGTCCGACTCAACTAGCGGACAAGACAGCAATACTATATGTAAATAATTGTTTTCAAAGGTCATGTATGATGCAAGTGTAGTATTCCTACCTATATGTTGTTGTTATATATAACGGTATTGATACCTCGTGCCTGTCATGAATTTTGCATGCATCTTTTTCTTTCCCCGTGATGTTTACATTTGGCCTTGTTGATGACGCGCGTGCGGTAAAATTACATCACTGATCTGGGTCAATTAAGAGTTTTAGACTGTCAGGTGACGATTTAGGATTTCTTTAATATAATTATAATTTTTACTTTTAGGGAGTGAATTTCAGCAAAATTTGAATCGGTATATTTCATAAGAAGGTATTTTAAACATGTGTATGCCATTTTAGCAAATAAGACATTTTTTCCCCGACCAGCCCCTTTAAGCTTCTTGGTTGTTTCAGTACCGTAATGCTTTGAATGGGTTCTTAAATCATGACATTTAAACGCTATTTGACAAAGTTATGTCCCTTTTTCATTGCCAAATAAGGGCATTCCGTCAAAAATGCAAGAACTTTTAAATTATTTGTTCAAGACTCTTACATCTAAGCTAAGGTTCTAGTTTTAGTAATAGCAACATTGACCACGAAAGTGTAATTATGAAACACAAAACACAAAAACCGCTTGTGCCATAAACACAGTAAATGAATGGCAAGGTCACAGTCACCTAAAACACAGTGGCAGTAAACACATTTATATCATATGTCACTACGTATAGGTATACCTGCTTCCAATATATCAATACCCTTTCAAAGGTCTGATAGGCGTAGCATGCTTCTGCTTGCGATACTGGTGCTCTTGTTGAATTTTGGGACAGAAGGAAAAAACAAAATGGTTGACAGTGGACCATTTTCAATTTGAAAAAATGAAGACCAAAAAGGTAAAATGTCATCTTTTGTAGATCTTTGTCATAAAATTTCAACTAATTGAAATATCATTACAGGTGAAGAAGAAATAAGTTTGCAAGAAGAAAAGGATACTGGAACACAAACAAAGCTTGGAGACTCTGAAGTTCAAAAAGACACCAAACATGTTTACGTAAATATGCTACAAATATCTCAACAAATTGAACCTCAGTTATTGAAAATCTTAAATTACTATTGGAATATTTTTGGATTGCCATTTTTCTGGATAAATGAAATATATATTTAACTTGTGTCTGTTCATCTTCGGTCAATTTGTTTGCAGATATGAATATTGATATGGCTGCATCTTGGATTTTGGGGTCAAAGTTTGTTATCACTTTTTCTCAGAAAAAACCCTGGAAATATCATTGTCACATTATGTACACTAGTTCCCCATGAGGCCTGGTTGCTCAATATCACTTAAGGTTCATACTTGTATAAACTTGAATTAATTTAAAAACAAGTTATTTCAACTTATATTAATGATGCACTATTTTTTGGGCAGATGTTAGCACACGCGGGGTTCTTAATGTGGGAGGAAACCGTAGTACCCGAAGAAAACCCATGTGGTCGGGCAGGTGACCCCATACCTTTTTACGTCTGATTGAGGAATAGAACTGCGTCTGACTTAGAGAAAAACAAGTGTACTATCCACTGCACCACCCAACTTAAGGTTCATAACCAAGGCCAAAGGTCAAAGGTCAAAGCCACATGTCAAATTCCATATCTCCCATAGTACTGTTTACGCATCAAGACTTGCAGATAATTTTTCTAGATAATTTTCAAATGTGTTTTTAGCTCACCTGGCACGAAGTGCCAAGAGAGCTTATGCCATGGCGCGGCATCAGTCATCCGTCCGTCCGGCGTCAATATTTTACTTGAAACAACTTCTTAATAACCAAAAGGCCTAGGGTGTCGATATTTGGCCAGAAGCAAACTGGGATGAAGGGCTACAAAGTTTGTTAAAATGAATTACCTTCACCCATATTCAAGGTCACAGGGGTCAAATATGTTAAAAACTTTAAACAACTTCTTCCCAATAACCAAACTGCCCAGGGAGATGATATTTGGCCAGTAGCATGCTTGGGTGAAGGGCTACTAAGTTTGTTCAAATGAATGACCTTCAATTATATTCAAGGTCACAGGGGTCATTTGTCTTAAAAAACCATTAAACAACTTGTTCTGAATAACCAAAATGCCTAGGGTGATGATATTTGGCCAGTAGCATGCTTGGGTGAAGGGCTACTAAGTTTGTTCAAATGAATGACCTTCAATTATATTCAAGGTCACAGGGGTCATTTGTCTTAAAAAACCATTAAACAACTTGTTCTGAATAACCAAAATGCCTAGGGTGATGATATTTGGCCAGTAGCATGCTGAGATGAAGGGCTACAAAGTTTGTTCAAATGAATGACCTTCACCCATATTCAAGGTCACAGGGGTCAAATATGTTAAAAACTTTAAACAACTTCTTCTGAATAACCAAAATGCCCAGGGTGATGATATTTAGTCAGTAGCATACTAGGATCAAGGGCTACCAAGTTTGTTTAAATGTATGACCTTGAATCATATTCAAGGTCACAAGGAGCAAATATGTTCAAAATATTTCAACAACTTGTTCTGAATAACCAAAAGGCTCAGGATGTTGATATTTAGTCAGTAGCATGCTGGGATCAAGGACTACTATGTTTGTTAAAGTGAATGACTTTGACTTATATTCAAGGTCACAGGGGTCAAATTTGTTTAAAATCTTTAAACAACCTCTTATGAATAACCATGGGTCCCAGGATGTTGATACTTTGCAAGTTGCATCCTGAGATGAATGGCTATACAATGTGTTCAACATAATGACTTTGTTCGACTTTCAATCACAGGGGTGAAATGTTTTGAAAAAAAATAAAACGGTCTTTTGGATGAATTTTAATCATAAATATTGATATTTTGCCTGTAGCTTTATTTTAGATCACTTTTAAGGTTACAAGTGTGAGATTTATACCAGGTGAGCGATGCAGGCCCATTGGGACTCTTGTTAATAATATAACTTATTCCATGTCCAACAGTTGAGTTCTATGGATATCTGCCAAAGTTGACATATAGAATATGTATGGCTTTAGCTTGTACTGGCTGTATTTCATTTTCAAATATTCACTATCGAGTATAAAAGAACACAATGCACTATTCTATTTTCGAAAACATGTATATGGATTATTGTCCACTTGTTCATCAAAGGATAATTTGTTGGGCTAACCCATGACAAGGTAAACATGAACCTTCCAACGTGGATTTGTGCAAAGTGTGCAGTTAAATACATTCTGGTACAGTGTCCATGTAATTCCTTATGTAAACTGGACAAAAGGAAAAGCCTCTAGAGACAACTAAGTGTTACACATTCTTGCTCCCTATTTACATGTATGAGTTAACCATGACTGTCCTTGGGAACTAGCATTGATGATGACATAAGTTTATAACAAGTTACCACTCAATACATTATGTGATGCTTTACTTGTCACCAGGGGCAGGAAATCCCACATGATCAGGAGCCAGTGGCAAAGCTCCTTCAGGTTAACCATCCAGATCCTCATGTAGAGATAAACCAACTACAAGGCCGGAAAACTCAACAGGCGATTCAGAAAGGTCATTGTACTGGGCTCAAGCAAACAGCAGCACTAAGTAAACAAGAAGGTTAGTAAGAATTGAAAACGCTGCAGATTATTAAGCTTACAAGATCAAAGTCCTAGGATAGAGCCAACGCCGAGGTGAGTAGTGGCGGATAGGTTAGTCCTGTTGTCCTTTGCTTGGATACCAGAAGGTATGCAGGGTGATTGGAGAGTGTAAGGGCAAATCTAAAAGGGTACATCAATCGCAACAAACTAGGGACTGGTTTTCTTATGTTTATTGGTGTGGCCTACCAGTTTCGCACGAACATTAGGCTTCATCGGGACAGTTTTACTACAAAAATGTTCACCTAAAGTACTAAAATTATGGATGAGTTTGTATAGTGACGTCCTACAATGAACTGTTGTTAACATACTATTGTTCTACATATGAAAATATAATGTATGTAAAGAGTTTGTATTCTCTAATTATTATTGTGTCCCCCTATAGACTACATCTATATTGATGTCCTTTTAGACATGTACTGATATTGGCTTAACAGAGTTATCTATCTTGAAATAACTCTTGATGACGTCATAATACAACCTATTTTTAGGTCACCTGAGACAAAGTCTCAAGTGACCTATTGCGATTGCCTTTTGTCCGTCGTCCGTCGTCCGTTGTGTGTCCGTAAACAATTTACATTTTCGACTTCTTCTCCAAAACCCCTGAACCAATTTCAATGAAATTTTGCAGGGACCTTCCATGGACAAAGGTCAACAAAAATAGTTGCCGGTTTAGTCCTA